ACAACCTACGGGAAGGGCAACAAAATAACACAAAATTGTTCAAGCGTGTACGACATTTTGCATGTGACAGCCAAAGGTTAACCCTTACAAGCAGCTGTACTGACTGGCCGGCTTTCACCACTTTGATAATGTTACCATGAGATTTTTAACACATACTCAGTACAGTATGTCATATAGTTCAGCTGTGTGGAGTCTAACTGCTTTCTTCAGTTACCAGATGGCGTTTTTTCTGTACATTAACCTGCAGGTTAACATGGCTCTTTACCTCCTCTGGTCACCTTGGATTCACCTCAAAACATGCAGCTCCCTCCCCCTCCTCAGTGCTTTCCTTCTCTTTCCACTTCATCTCCCCTACTCTTCCAGACCTCTTTTCCTCGCTCAATCGACTCCATCCACTCAGTCCCACTGCCATTATTTCCTACCAAGCTCCTCTTTGCTCGTCATCTCCGGTTCCTTGCCAATCAGGGGAGTTTTTACCTCTTTATAATGTTTCATAATCCGACGCTACGGAAAGACAAGACAGAATTTTTCATGAGAAACTGTTAGCAGGGAAAAGTCCAAATACAGCAATGTACTTCCATTATTACATAATGATTTTAATTTTAATGAGAGCAGTGGAAAATCTGCAGGGAGAAACAAAAGTCTTCATTAATTACAAATACTGCATAAAATCAGAGAGCTGAGCTGCTGAAGGACTAGCTGATCTCAAGAGCACTGCATAAAAACACACACACATGCACACGTTTCCAGTCAAAGAGGACTTCGGAGAGTTCTCTGGGAGGTGGCATTTAAGTCTGGCCACCGGGGTGCAGAGCATCTATCATTAAAACAAAGTGCAGACTGAAATCAACTTCACCAGCACTCAGCTCTCCTCACCGTGTCCTTTTCCTCACTGTCCAGATCTCATACAGACAAACACAACATTAATCAGCTTGGGCCCATAAATTGCTCCCTTTTAGAGAATCATTCATTCAGACTACAAAGGCTTGTGCGTGAATGTGTGTGTATTGTCGTCTGTCCCCTGCTTAGGTTGAAATAGCTGCCTTTGACTTGAGGGTAAGCTGAGCTGCAGTAAATTGGATTTCATGCTCAGTCCTTCACAGTAGCAGTATGCGACACTAAGACAGAGCCATCTTCCCCCCTGCAATCACGACAAAGTTAGAACTCTGTTTCTTTAAAGGATAGAGCCTCTAACACAGTTACATTACACCACAGGGAGAGAGCTGATGTAACAAATCATTTCAAGTATTTATTTTGCAGAGAACTGGTTATTATCCAGTTGTCACCTAATGCCAAAATGTGGCAGCTCAGCATTTCTGCCACAAAACAATACATATGAATCATAAATCATTTGAACAGATGATGATCATCAATACACTAATGGTGTCATCTGCCACCAAATGTTGGATCAACTGTTTTTGACACATAACCTGAAGGGAAAGACAAACAAGAGACTTGCCGCAACCACAGAGTTGTCCCTCTGCTGCAGTGACAGCGAGGAGGTTTTGTCAGGGGGAAGCTGGCCAATCTGCCACAGAAAGCCCATTTCAGAGTCTTCTGTGCACAGCAGCCCATTTAGATGCAGATGTGAGGCAGCTGGCATCGTGTGCCGAGCTGGTCCTCTTGAGTGCGGAGCTGACGGGCCTGGAACTAAAGGTGGCTGCATTTCTTTATTTTTTTATTTATTTTTTGGTGGGACCCTGCAGTGCTTCTGCCTCTCATCAGACTTCATCCTGTTAGACAGCATGTCATCCAGTCTCCTGTCCCCTTCCCTCCTGGTCCCATCACAAAGGAACAAAGATGGAGGCAGGCAGGGAATACAGAGAGGCTCCAGCGACGTCACTGACATTGACATTACCTCTGTGATCATTAAACCTAAATTGGCTAAATGAATTGCCAATTTGAGAGGCCTTAGTCACAGCATATTGGTGTGTGCATGCCTGTGAGTGCACACGTCTCTGGGTTTGTGAAATCTACCGTGACGATAAGAATCTGTCTCTGGTTGTCTGTTGTTTTTTTCTCCCCCCTCTGCGTCTCTTCATTTCTGTCCAACTACCTCTCTCTCACAATCTACACAAAAATTCAATAAGCTATTACACAGACATTGATCTTTTTCTCACCCAAACATTTGCATTAGAAAAAAAAAAGGTAGTAAGATGAGGGGTTGGGTGAGACAGGGCTGTCTGTTCATTTTAGTGGGGAGACGGAGCAATAGACGGTGAGGCCTGGATTTATAGAGTTTGGCAGCACTTTAACACTTTAACGCTCCTCAGAATGTGTCCAATCAATGCGCTCCTCCTTGCGTGGTCGCTGTTGAAGAGACGTGGTGTTCACTTATCTGATGTCATTGTAAATCACTCAGGAGGAGGGTAGGTCAGGGGATGCTGCTGGTACACACACTCTGCATCGAGCTGCTGTGGGATGTTGCAGAATATGACCCTGAAAACACTGTGTGCCAACCTTAAATACATCACTCTATTGTGGGTGTCTGTGCAGTAAATGCAGATTTATAAGAAACAGCAGATACGCTTTGACCTTTAAATTGTAATGTGGCGTAAAATGAGCTGCAAATTTACCAGAAGCGTGTCAGGAATACACTTCACTAACCACAGAGGAAACACAATGATGATACCTCTGAGCCAGTCCATAAAGCTGAAACATTATGGTCCCTTTACATGCTTCATTAACCACATGTTTAATTGCATCCAAGACATTTTCCAGTCTGTCTTTTAGTTTTGGACACAATAAAGCAAGAAAGAATCCACAGGATGCTATTGGTTTCCCTGAATTTTAGGGGTTTTAAAGGATAGTGATCCTCTATATTTGTCTTCAACAAATAGACTGAGAGAAGACCGAAGCCATCAATGAACTGATCCTGCTAGCAATCTCTGTAGCTAAAACCTGATCTATCTTTTTCGTCTGTGCCATAGATCTCCATCGTTGTCCAAAAACTATTAAAAACACATCAGTAAGCCACACTGGGTGATGCACACACTGCAGTTTATTTTGAGTCAATCCCACATACACTCTCTTGTACATACTCACTACATTAGCTCACCAAATCTCTATTACTTTGCAGTTGAAAATAATCCTCAACAAATACACAGTTTACTTCTGTTTGACTAATGTTTTCTACAAACTACTGTGTCCAGCTGTTTCTCAGAAATTATATAGCCTATTTTTAAATTAAAGTACATATTTATTACTCATTTTTAAAGATGTTCACCTTCAATAGGAACAAATTGGTTTGGGGCAGAGAGCCACAGACAGGTTGGGGAGGTCAGAGATGCTGCTAGCTGGGCACATGGGATTTTAAATGTTAAACAACATAAATAAAGACTATTACCATTCGTATGCTTTAATGTTTCAATTTGTAAACACAGGAAACAAGAAAATACTACCAAAACGTATCTTCATCTTGCAATTGCGTACACTCATTCCTTCATGATATCTGGTGTTGAGAGTTCACTCATTCCTTCATGTTCGTATGTTGGTGTGAACTAAGGTGTGTTATTACCGCTGGTTTTTCACTCAGCACAAATCTTGCTGTGGTTGGTTTGGAGAGGTGATAATGGCCACCATGTGAGCAGTGGGATTCATGGCATGTCTGAAGGACATTTAAACCGTGACCTCCACTTCTATATCTTGTTTCCCTTCCTACCTAAACTCTCTCCTGCTCATGCAGCGTATGCAAAAGCAGACAGACAGAAATAACAATAGCTAGAGCTGAGCCTCAACTGCCACTGCCTCCCAAGGACCGAAACGGTCTGGAGAGGAATGCCAGAAGGAGAGACTTTCCCCCCCATCTATTTCTGATCTTGACAGCACATTCTTTACGTCTCCCCCACTGTCAGTGAAAGGAGCCTCCTCTGCTGTTACCAAAATAGTCTTTTCTTCCCCTCGTTTTGACAAGTGACCAGTTTTTCTTTTCAAATGTAACAAAAAATTAAGTAGTCATCACAATGCGGCAGCAATAAAGGATGATGATTGGATATAATCTAAAGAGAAAAGATTATACAAATGCTCTCTGCAGAGCCAGATTGGGCCTGAAGCACCCTGCTGGTTTTGTACGCTAAAGAGGAGAATAACTACGGAAAGCCGAAGTGGAAAGAGAGAGCAAAAACAGAAAGAGGATGAGGAGAAGGAGGAACAAAACCGCTAGAAGGACTGGTGCTGGTGTGAGGAGAAGTACAGATTGGGAATACAGAAGCAGGCAGACAGAATAAGGGACCATGAAATGGGGATAGAAAACTGTGCCTGGTGAGGGAGAGACAGAGAGAGAAATGGAGAAAAGGCGGATATCTGCAGCACCCCAGCTGCGGGGCTTAAGGAGCTTAGCCCTCATGCCCATCACAGAAGACTCCTCAAGTGCAGGCATTCAGCTACTACTGAGAGAAAAGTGAGCAGGACAAGGAGAGAGAGAGGAGAGGTGTGGGTGGGTAGTAGTGGGGCTCAATATGGGAAAAATGAGGCTGAAGTTAAGGGTTTAGATCTAGAAAAGAGGTATTAGAGTATTATATTTATTTAAAGACTGCAGGAACCTGTTTTATAGCAGGCACGTAATTATGGAGCTACAGCCAGCAGCTGGTCAGGTATTTCTTTGCTGACTGTTCTGGATCCTCCACCGGTGGCTTGTTAACCTCATGGTGGTGATAAGACACCAGGAAGTCAAGAAAAATTATACAAACAAGATATAACATGTAAATCAGTGAGCTTTAGAGGTGCTGGCGGGTGGATTTTATCATCTTTGGACAGAGCCAGGCTAGCTGTTTTCCCCTGTTTCCAGTCTCTGTGCTAACTAGCTGCCGGGGGAAGCTTCTTTAAGAAAACGTTTCATTACATATGGTAGTTGATGTCACTAACAGAGCTTCTGCAATGATTTCAATTTGTGCTTTTCTACAATATCCTCTATTAAAGGAACACTTGATCAGGTATATTATTGATAAGGTTTCATGCTATTAAACTTTTCTCTAATTTCCCTGTTTGTGCATTTATCACAGGAAGCGTAAACCGACCGGGGCCGGTCCCTGCCTTCCTCAGGAGCCCACCCGTCATCCCGACCCCGCTGGACATGAAGCACTTCCTCCAGTTCCCCCTGGAGTCACCTCACCCAGCCAGCATCGGCCTCTTCCACAACTTTAATACAGTGAGTGCTCACATGCAATACCTGCACACGAGCGTGAATACATGTGTGCACACATGGTGTCTGGGATTCGTTATCAACTTGTTTCACTTAACAGAAGACAGAGCTGGTATTCAGTTGTGGTTCTGGAGCGTTGCCTCCTGAGTAAGGACAAGTGATAAAGTGCTATGGATTTATACTGTATAATCCAAAATGATAAGGTGACAGCTGTTTACTTTTTATTCAGCAGAGTGAGTTTCAGCATAATTGAGAAAATGCCCAGGCGAGTGTTTTACTGCAATAAAATGAGTTACAGCTAATCAATTGTATAAGAGGCAGAGGCTGTGTTCTCTACAGTCAGCATTTTCTACGGCTCCCTCTCATTTCCAGATTGGGTTTCATGTGAAGGTCAGCGTGGCGACAAACAGGGATGCATGTGCACCACACACACACACACACACACATTATCGTCTAGCTCATCTTCATGCGCTCAAGCAAAATGACCCTTCCGCAGGTTAATGATTCATCCTGCTTCAGCGAGGATAATGTGTGTGGCCACTACTGCCAAGGCACCTCAATCCAAATCACCCTCTTTCCGCACAGTAAAATTTAAACAAGTCTGCCGTAGTCCAGTGATGGGAGGCTGTTGTTTTTTTCAAAAGCCTGATCAACCGGCTCGTCTTTAGAGGCTACAGAGACTGAAAGGACACAGAGAAGGGCAACTGACAAAAACACTTGATACTATTGTTTTGTACTATACTATATACTATATGTTCCAGTTCGGGTAGAAACTTCTGTGAGTTAGAGAGCTCATATCAGGTCTGACTCACCAGGATTACAGGTAATTTCCAGATTCTCAGGAGTATACATGTAGCTCTCACCTCCTTGCATTGAGACACAAGCTGAACAGTGCGGCACAGTGTGTGCAGAGGGAAAGAGTGAGCCTCCGCCGTGATTTGTAACACTCCAGAGGAAAATAATGTTTCTGTCAGGCTAAAGTTTAATGTATGTGTTATTAGTCTCTGTGTCACTTATTTGGTTTGGGAAAGAAATATTTTTTAAAGTTAGAATTCTTAAGATTTTCTTCATATCAGTACCCATTTTAGTACTATTCTTGGTCTATTTTCCTGCAATACTCATTCAACATTTTTATATTCTGTAATTGCCTCTCTATAAAGTATATATAAATTATCACTAGTACTATCCACCCTTCACATTGTGTACCCATTGGCTCAGTTGTTTCTCTAAGCGGCGAACAGCCGTCAAAGAGCACAACACCAGATTTAGAGGTCTGGAACCAACTGTCGTCTTTTGTCTTCTTTATTAAACAACTTGAAGCAATGAGTCCTCTCAGCTCACAGTTTAAGTGTGCTATAAACAGATAAATTAGTCTATCTGTTGTATCTCTGACAGAGCAGCCTCTCAAGATGTGTTTGCTGCCCCCAGTGTTCAATAATGTTCCATTTAAAACTGAATGTTGGCAGCTAAAAAAATATTTTTTCTTACCACCAAATGGAGGAAGGATTTTATCTTAAAAAATAAGAAATAAATGCAAAATGAGGGATGATCTTGAACCACAGAGACCCTACAGATAAAGACTGCACATGTAAGAATGGAGATGCAAATTAACTATAAACTCAGACATCCATATGACTCACAGGGAGAATTTCTGGTGCAACAAAAGCTCCATTGTTTGAGGGAGTAGAGAGAGTGAAAGAGGAGACAGAAAGTGGACTAATAGGTTAATGAGGTTATAACAGTAGGGGCAGATGTATTGAAAAAAGATCCTGATGAGAACAGGTGGTATAAGAATGGCAGCCCAAGACACACAGTGATCGGGGAGACAGACAGAGATCAACATGGCGAACGACAGCTACACAGGACAGTGAGAGAGGGGCTTTTATCTACCTTGTTGGCACACACGCACACTCAGGTACATACACATATTCACAACACAGAAGCTGTCATACCGTCAGCCACACACAATGCTGGCACAGAGGCAAACGTACAGATGTAAACAAACACATTTGGAGGTGTAACACAAAACAAGAGAGAGGTGAATTGAAGACACAAGTTAGAGACTGGGGCAAAAGGGAAAAAAAGCAGGCTAAAGTCTATAAATATTTCCAACAATGGATTCAAACAGGGTTTAAGATTTCAGACCAATTATACCATTTCCCCTGGTGCCTGGAGCTTGAGAGTGTAAACAGTCTCTCATTTGGCAGCGTACGTTCATAGTCTGAGCAGGAGATGAGAGGCTGAGTAAAACCACAGTGTACTTTTGGCTGCTTAACGAGGGCAACACCCAGCGCTGTGGTTGCTGAACCCTGCCAATGGGTCAAAGAGCTCACACGAGTCTATTCGAGTCATCTAAAAATGAGGTAGTAAACATTTCATAAGAGAATGATATGCCATATATCTGTGTTTGAGCTGAGAATTACAGGCTCAGTTGGTATGTGTGTAACATTTAAGAGGATCCATTGGCAGAAATATAAATAAATATATATAATACTCATTAGTGTATAATGACCCAAATATAGGAATTGTTGTGTTTTTTAACCTTAGAATCAGCCACAAACACTGGCTGTACTGGCTTTCGCAGCCACCGTAGTTTCTCCTACACAGCCCCAGGCCGACAGATGCGAGCAGTGTTCAGTTTGTCTTGTGTGTGTACACGTGTAACATTTTAATTCATATTTGTTTTCTGGTATACCGTATACTAATTGTTTTAATGAACTGTTTTAATCCTATTATGTGATTCACCTAATAGGATAAATGTTGAGCTGCATATTCCTAATGACAGTAATTACACCTCTGTAATGACGTTAGACCTCTGTTAAATAAATATGTCTACCCATTATTTGTTGTTAAGTCAATCCATAAATGTTAGAAATCCAATCTGCAGTTTTTTGTTATTGTTTTTTAATTACCAACAGCATATTCTTATGTAAACCCAGACTTGTCTACGTTTGGGTAATTTAATATTTTCACAGTTTCAGTATATTTCTGTATTTTTATAACCCAGTGTACTGGGTTATAAATAAAATAAAATATTTTGATTACTTTTCTCACTATAAGGACCTAACGTCCCAACAGCAATCTTATGAATATTACCTTCTCAATCTCTGATTGCTTATCAAGGTTGTTAATAAAAAACTATTGTTTTGTGTAATACTCTGGCACGATGTTTTGAAGAGCAGAGGTTTTATAGCACACAAAGTAAAATTTTTTGGAGATAGGAAGCCTGTAATTAGGCCCTTCTAAGCCCAGCATGAATTAAACCGTTTGAACGGCACCCAAGAACTCAGGCACAGACAGCAGCACCAGCTGCTGCTGAGAAAACACACACCCTCCTGTCCACATCAATCACTGCTCCCTCTTCAATTCACTCTTCTCCACTCTTTTTTATCTCCCAGTTTTATCCTCCTTCAGTGGCTCCCCCTGTCATTCACATGCACTTTTTCCTTTAACACATTTCGCTCTCATCCACATTCACTGGACTGCGGTTAGGAGAAACACAGAAACATTGCCCTCTGAGCTCCACCTGTGTTGCTGAATCCTCTGGGTTTTTCTCTCCTCAGATGGATCCCGTCCAGAAGGCTGTGATGACGCACACCTTCGGGCCACCTATGGTGAAGACAAAGCGGCCAATCATCTCTTGCAACGTCTGTCAAATACGCTTCAACTCAGAGGTATGAAACCTGAAATAGTTCTAACGAAGGGTTTTTATAGATAATATCCTACTATTTGATTGTTCATTTTACCCCGCCCTCAAACTGTGATTGTCCAATCATAGCTTGGCAGCTTAACTAGAAACAGCAGGCCTGTCAAGCTTTGGATTTCTAAAAATGCTAAAGCAGTGTGCATAGGGCAGAAGTATGAGTGATACTTGGTATTTAAAGAGTATGGCAGGTGGTGTCTCTCTTACAGTCTTTCCAAAAGTGTAAGAAATTGATGAAACAGTGTCTATCCACTCAAATGTTAGATAAAATGTTAGCATGTCTCGCTAACTAGCTCATACTGACAGTAGTGTCCAAGCACATCATGATGTTTGTAGGCTTATAGGTTATGTTAAAAAAGGCTTTCTCACAACTACATCCACTATGTAGTATTCCCCAATGTGTGAAAGCTGGTTCTGGATGGTATTATATCACACTTTAGGTTAACATTAGCAGCTCTGTCCTGCTCTTTATTTGGGAAAGTTACACTTTAGCAACCAGAGTGAAAACATTTACCTAAGTTAGTGTTATGTTTGCCAAACACATGAATAAGTCCTCATCATAAAAAAAATTTATTTTTGTAATGTGAAAACATCATTTGAAAACATATGTAAGCTAAGCAGCCGACCTGTGTCTGATCTTACATTTTTCCACATCATATAATACTTAGACTAACTAGCTCAACACTGCAATAAAAGAACAAGTTTCTTTATCTCCATGTCTTCTACATTGATCATCAACTGTGAGAATGCTACCTTTTTGTCTGAAACATGTAGGTTTCGCCTCAGTGTTTTAGCATTATATCATGCATCAAGTGCATATTTAAGACAACAAGATTCTAGTTTTAAATGTAGTCAGTAGGAAACATTCAAAAGTCAGCTGAAGCACCATTTTCAACCAATTCATGGAACTAATGTTAGCTTCATGAGCTACCTAGCTATGGTTGATTAAATCTGCTGATTAAATGTACTATAGAGTGCTGCAAGGATGCCAACCATTAATTACCATCACCCTGGTTCCTTTGACAAAAAAGCCAATGGTATTTTTCCATTGAATTTTGGATTAGTGCATAAAATAATATGTTTACATAAATGAATAGGATACTTCCATGTATTGTTCAGCAAAATCATTTTCAACACTTTTATGATTTTGAAGCACATATGTGATCGCCAGAAGTAAAAAGATAACGTTAAACAAACTACACCACGGTCACATGACTTCAGCATCACCACCACTAAACTTCCATCTTATAATTAAATCAATTAAATCTTTTAATTAAAATCTACAAGTTGGAACATTTTAGTTAAAATTTCTACTAAGACCTTATTTCAGGCATCTGAAAAACACACACACAGATTTAAAAGAATTGACTGACTGCATGGACGGAGGGAACTGGAGGTGCAGACCTCTATTGAGGAGAACGGGATAACCCCATTCATTCCTGTGGCAGCTGCTCACTGGGCACATGAGCGGAAAAAGCCTCCCTGGGCTTCCTCCTTACGGTTCTGTTTTTGGACCCATAGAGCTCACTACAGTCCTTCTCCCACCTAGCCAGTGTGGCTGAGAACTCCGCTGGCCGAGTCGGCTGACTCCCTGCTGGCTCCCCGCACATGAGTGGGATTAAATAATTAAACAAGGGCTGTTGTCATTTCAGCTGGCAAAATCAGCCGCTGCTGGCTGGAAATTAGAGAGCTGCTTTTGTCAACCTCTGTGTGAAATCAAGGATTTATTGTGTCAAAAGTTACTAAGAATTTGTAAACTGCCTGTGTGCCCTGTGAGGTCAGACAGGTTGACAGGCATAGCAACAGTACAAGCACAGTGAACAGTGAAACTCTGCAGCTGCACTCTAGACACATTCAATCATGACCTAAAAAGTTAGCTGGCCGGACCCAAAGTTAGTTGGTGATTGACTGTACAGCTGGAGTAGGTGAGAACTTGGTTCACAGTTTCTCAACTCCAATTTTAGCCTGTCAAAGAAGGAGAGTGGGGGGAGGAAGACAGAGAAAAACCCTGCTTGCTTAATTTATTCTGTGACTGTCCAGTATGATTTTTAATGTCCTTTTGCACTCTAGTATCTCTAAGTCTTGAGGCAATGTCTGAAAAGCAAATAGAAAGCGAGCAAGTGTCAGGATGTTTCTTTTTAGTTTGTGTGTACAGAGATTGTATTGGGCTGCACTGTCTGTCAGATTTCGGATGTTAATAGTGAGTACACTAGTACAACGAGTGCTTTTAAAGTCCATTTTGATGAGATTTGCGAGACGTGTCAGGGTGAACCACAGCTAACATGAGCTTGTCCTCGAAGCTACCTTAAAGCTGATTAAGCACATTTTCTGCATTTCACTCTTGACAGAGACGGCGCTGTGCCAGCATGAGCCATAGGGACTGAAATAAGAGGCCAGAAGTGATGAAATTCTAGAGGAATGATTTGAGTGTCCCCATTAAAGAGGCAGTAGTGTTAACTGAAGTTGAAAAGCAAATAACTCATAATGTGGACATCCGAAACCCAGCTACTGGATGACATGATTGATGTGTCTAGTACTGGGCCTTTTACAGTGTGTATGTGTTTGTAAGTACATGTGTGCAGTGGAAATATTTTGATGGTCTTTCCAGGGACAAATAAGAACATATATAGCTCTTTCCTGGTGTGGTCCACAGCTTTTATGATGATGTTGCCTCTGTTCATTTATCTCCACAAAACCAATAAACATGACCTCTTAAAATGTCCCTCACAATAATTTCAGTCAAACTCAGAAGTGAAAAAAAGTGCAGTGCAACTAAACATCTTGGATGAATTTGAGTGATGCTCATTTATCAATACGGAAAGGGCTTTCAGGGATGCATGGATGTTTGTGACCTACAATACACTGTAACCTCTAACCTAAACATGAGTAGAAATCAAACAAAAGCCTGACACACAAGCCTAGCTAAAAATATAAATGCATTCCAGTGATGAAGCGCTAAATACTTGTACTCTAAATGCAGTGGTGTGTAAAGGACACAGTCAGGGAGGGAGTCATCTGAAACTTGTGTAACACTGTGAGGGGCCACTTAATTATATCTCCCCTGCTCAGACCTGCATGTTCTCACGTGGTCTACACGAGCGAGGGGGGTACAAAACAAGGAGGCAAAGCAAGGGGGCGCTTTTATTTACTACAGCATGTTCATATTTACATACTAACGCTATAAACTATATAAAACTATTTACATAAATGCATGTCCGCATGTGTTTGAGTGTGTCTAACTAGTGTCATGTGTATATTATGCGGTGAGAACTCTAATATTGTGCCACCTGTTTGTTCTGCCTGCTGTTTTACTTGTGAGCCGCGGTGTGCATCTGCTCTGCTGCAGCTCCACAGCATTTTCCACAGTAACCCGAGAGACTGGGAGCTTAAAGCACGGTGGACATTCTTTAATAATGAAGGAATACTCTGTTTACAGTGCAGTGCTTGGCTTACTCATGCTGTCTGGGCTGCGCTGCAGCTCAAAAGCGGATCAACACTAACATATTTTTCATCTTCCTAAGGTTCAACACAAACCAAAATACATTAATAATACCAACATTTGCTTTTGTGTTTATGTCTGAGGCAGGCCGTTGTTAAGTTCTCCAGTACTTACACAAAGTGAGAGAGACAGATTGATTGATAGTGGCCATTCAGAAGCAGGTGCTTCTCGCTGCTACTAGACTGTAGAGCCACACATGTTGTAATTATAACATTGCAATTCATTTCAGGCCACAGAGGACAGATTAGCCTGCCAGTGTTTAGCTCAGCTCTGCTGCAAGGCTGACGTCACACCATGCTGCATTAGCCATCGTCACCACTGCAGTACCACACTGGACACCTCTCTCTCTCTCTCTCTCTCTCTCTCTCTCTCTCTCTCTCTCTTTATTTCCCTCTCCTCTTGTTCTTCTCAGGCCCACACCAAACCTTGTTTCATTCATATCTCCTGTCTGCTCAGGAACTTAGTTTGCTCACCCCTTTCCTTGTCAGTTTTCATGTTTCTGCTTCTCCCCTCTGTGGGGTATACTGTATCATCTGTCCCCTTCTCCTTCTCTCCACCTCTCCAGCTTCTTCCCACCCCCTCTTCCTGTCGCTGCTGCCAGTACCCCGTACAGTAGATTTGGCTGCTAGACCCGCTCTCTCTGCTTTCTGTGCCTTTGTCGCTTTATAGATAAAACATCAAAGCACATCCTGCTTAGAGAAAAAAAGGATTTCAGGGACATTCACTTGCTCTCATTTTCTCCCTCTTAAATCCCATCTCTGCCTCCTCATTCATCTTAATCTCCCTTTCCATAGGCTCTTTCGTAGCTTCTCTCAGTCCATTTCACCTACTATGCCGAACATCATTTATATTTTCTCATTATTCACTTTTCCTCTTAACTCCAAACAACGGATGCCTTTATCTCTTTTACATCCTATTGTCTATGCTGCATCCCACCCCCACCTCAGAGGCAGTCAAGATTTTTATGCTTGAATTGATGGGACACAGTCATTGATTTCTTAAGACCTGACACTGAAGGTCACAGGGAGAGTGAAAGTATCAAAGGTAATAAGTAGTAATCAGGCAGAAAGAAAAGGTTGGGAGTCGCAGAAAGGGAGAGGAAAATAAGAACTACAGCAGCACAAAGTGTACACTGCAAAGAGAAGAGGGAGCGCTGAGGATTTGTGCCTTTGGAGCTCTCTGCTGTCATTTGTGCGTGGAGTTGCATGGGGTTCATCTCCTTGTCTAATTGCAGAGCTTTGGGAAACAGCAGCCAGAGGAGTTGGGTTGCACAGGCAGAGCTATATCTGCCTTTCTGTCATCACCAATCAGGATGAGGGCTATATGGGTAACTATCATTGGCAGTTAATACCTCAGGCTTACAGAGGCATCCTGAACACGTCCCAGTGGTCCATTTGCCTCACTGAGGCATCCCACCCCACAGAGCCCCCAACATGTACCTGTCACGCGCCTTATGCAGGTCATCTAGTCTTGTTATTGACATAATGAAACCTATCTAATCCCACCAGGCCACTGCTTGTGCATACAGTCACACATACACTCTTGTATTACTGTATTAGTGAGGAGCTTACAGGAACTATTTGTCCCCTAACACCTCACACTTTCCTTTGATTTCATTTGAAGCTGACATGCAGATGCATATCTGGACTTGGAGAGCAATGCTGATTTCCCAGCCCAGTATCTCTGGGACTGATTTCCAGATTGGACATTTCTGCACCTCACGATTTATGTCCAATGCCAATGTTGTGTGCCAGTGCACAAGGTAGAGTAGTGGGGCGGAAAGTAAGGGTATTGAGGTTGGGGTGGTGTATAGCATGACAGACTTTCATGTAGGAGAATGGAGTTTGTGCACATACCGTTTTAATTAAATATAGCTGCAAGCTTTCCCAAAACGTAACCCTGTGTTTTAGTTGCCTAATCTTAACTAGAGCTGCACAAGGTGGTAAAAAGAAAATCATATTGCAATTATATTTTGACTGATATTACGATATGATGATTTATGATTATTGGAAATTATACTTTCTACATCACAATTTTCATTTTCCCTGAAAAAACTATAATACCATGATGATGTGACATTTTCTGGGGTCTGTACCAAACAAACATGTTTTCTTACATCTGGAGAAGATTTGTAGGCCATCTCTGCAGCACTACAGTACTTACAGTACAATTATAATGCTGTTTTGTCACACATTTTACCTTCATCAAATAATTGCAGCTTTTGCCATTTTGATGATATTTCAATTAAGTGTGCAATTCTAATCCTCACCATATTCCAACCTTAGTGTACTTGCCATAACCAAGGTCTCTCCTTAAACATAACCATATTGTAGTTGCCATGTGCAGATATTGTAGAAAGAATACATTTTTGTGGAAACATTTTTGATTAACAATTGCTGTCAGCACTTAGCTCTAACTAAAACCCAAACTCTGCACCTATACTAAGGACTTACTTAAATGTCCACTCCTCTTCATATATATATATATATATATATATATATATATTCATATTCCCTTTCCCTGAGTTAAACTGATCCTCTTAAATGTAATGAGACAAGGACAAACAGGCAAACACATACCACAGATTCCTCTTGATTTGCTCTATTTGTCTCTCAGCAACTGACAACTGTCAATTGTCACTGGTTGCCCACAGCCCTACAGCCAATTTCAGATAATCCCACCACTCAATAATCATCATCAGCTCAGCAAACCAGTTCAGTGATTACACCAGAAGTGAAGGAAGACGAGAATGTTCTAGAGGCTAATCTCCCCTGACAGCCTCATCAGCACATCAGACCCACAAACCATCAGTTCAACGGCCATTTAACTGTAATGCTCCGAAAACGCAGGCTGACAGAATATATGTCAGAATTTGTGAGTAATTATTGGATCATCCTTGTGGTCACAAATAGGTTGGTTTGTTTAAGTGTAACATTTATTGACACAGGGAAGAAACAGTCACTCAGTCGTTTAGTTCCTGCTATATACATATATCTCATCAGTAGTTGTTGTGGGAATGGAAAGCATTACTATTTAACGCTCCAAATCCTCATTTATTTGAGACAGCACCTTCCACAACCACATTTCTCAAATTTCTACAACTCTAACAGCAAAGCAGAGGTAATCCAATGTGAAGACATTTACATGTTTAAGGTAGAAGAGGGCTGCACAGATGAGATGAGAGAAGAGGCAAGAAAAAATTGGAATAAAGATAACCATCATGGTGAATAAAATGAAATGTTCTCTTAAAAATGGAAACAAGAACCTGTCGTGCACATTCAAATCCAGGATTTTATAAAAAACCTCTGATGTGTCTTGTTTTTCTGCCAGAGCCAGGCAGAGGCCCACTATAAGGGGAACCGCCATGCTCGGAGGGTGAAGGGGATCGAAACATCCAAGACAGCTCGTCTCCAAGATGGTGACAAGCAACACCCTCCCCCTACTGCTTCGCCCACCCCACCAGGCCCCTCGCCATCCAGCCCTGAGCCTGATCCTAATAAGCAGGGTGAGCATCACCTGTGACATATGATGTTACACACACAGAAATCTGTCACAGAACGGCACAGATGCAAAACACAGCTGTTGTGTGAAGTGATAGGATAGAAACTAACCAGAGAGGAGGGCTGGTGTCTACTAAGAAATGTAGTGTTAATATGAATCAGAAAAAAAATAATTAAACATTCGTTCTTTCTGATCCATACACATAAAAAATTCAAGATTTAATCTCACAGATAAATATTGACTTGAACTGTAACAATAGAAAAAAACACAATAGGGATGTAAAAAGTAGAGCAATCAGTCACTAAGGCCTGTGTACCTAAGGTGTCACCACACAGGGGTGGTTAGACCTGCTGGCGGGTCCAGATGGGCTGACACAGCTGTGGCTTCAACCTCAAAGAGGCAGAGTTTAATGCCGGCACTAGTGCTGGAAAAGCAACATTGGTATTTTTATATCATGATCATCAGGGATGAAGGGTTTATTGAATGTTGATTTTTTTTCAGAAATGATTCACTAACCTGAAAACTTTGTGCTGTTTACAGATGACACCCAATCCTGTCCCAACTCTAACAAGTCACCTTTGACCCCTAGCCACCTTCCAACACTCACACTGAGCTCAGCAGACGCAGAGTGTCTCCTCTTGCCTTCTGTCAGCACACCTTTGCCATCCTCTCCCTCCCCCTCCGTGGCCCTAAGTACCCCCCCTGCAGATCCAGCAGCAGCCGGTCTTCCTGACACGCCGTCCCCAGCACCCAGCCCTTCTTCAGGAGAGTCAGAGGAAGAGAAAGCCAAGAAGCTTCTCTACTGTTCCCTGTGCAAAGTAGCAGTTAATTCCCTCTCACAACTGGAGGCACATAACAAAGGTATGTGAGTGCACATATTCATAAGTACATCACGCCACAGAGTAAGGACAACCTTGTGAGAAATAGTGAAATGTCTATAAACAATAGCATTATGAACTACGCACTCTTAGAATCAACCTGAAGCACTGCTCTTTACAAACAATTCTGCACTTGTTCTGCTTCAGTTTTAAAAACTAAAGCAGGTGCATTACTGCCACTTAGTGGTAAGAATGGCAGTTTAAAAACTGTATGTTTTGACTTAGTGGTGATAAAAACCTTACCTCTTGCCACCTATACTTGTCAATGTTGCCTTAAAAACTGAGATTCAAAGTTCATTCTTGATCTTGGAAACAGCAGTTGAGAACAAAACGATACGCACTGCACTCTAACATGGCCTCAATCTTTTTATTATTTCCAGGTACCAAACACAAAACAATTCTCGAGGCTCGGAGCGGACTGGGACCCATTAAAGCATACCCACGTCTGGGTCCTAAACCCTGTCCAGAGCAAGGAGGGGAGCTGTCCTCTGACCCCAACACTCAGGAACGCACCTTCCACTGTGAGATCTGCAACGTCAGAGTCAACTCAGAGCTGCAGCTTAAACAGGTGAGAAACCCAAACAAAGAACCTGAGTGAAGTAGTTTTCAAGCAATTCCTCAATATTAAATGTCCTTGTCCTTTCTTATTTTATGTTTCAGCATATATCTAGCCGGAGGCACCGGGATGGAGTTGCAGGGAAACCTAATCCTCTTCTCAGTCGGCATAAGAAGCGCACAGACTTTATGGTAGAAAACTCACTTTGTCTTTCTCACATCATATTCCACATTTCTCAAATCTCCCCAAAAAAACATTTTTTCATTTTGAGGAAATCTGTTGTGTGCTTCAATACTTAAAGTTGTGTTACATCAACCTCTATTTTTCCTTGACTTTCTCAAAGGAACTTCCAAAAACCCTGGGGGCCGGACTTTTACCAAGTCCTCTGGCTGTTGCTGCAGCAATGGCAGCAGCAGCCTCCTCCAATCAGCTGGCACTACGTCCTCCTGGCCCATCCTCTCACCCGCATCACCATCACCACCTCCTACAGGGAACACCCCTCAGCCTGCTAAGGCCCGCTCCAGGTCCCATCCGCACCACACATGGGCCAATCCTCTTCACCCCTTACTGATGGCGAGAGAATGAGGCAGAATCAGGAAGAAGCACACTGTGAAGTGGAGGCCTGCAACCATGTGCCATCAAGAGCCAAATCAGCTGGTATGGCTCCAGATGGTGTTTCATCATAATAAAAACAGTGAACACAAATAAGACTCTTTATGGTGCATACAGTGGTTGCAGACCACTGCTGTTACGTTGACAGGGAGAACCAGAGATAACTGACAAATCTCTGATATTTCGAAGAGACTGTATGTTTCCATCCTCCCCAGCTTCCCTTCATCACTCAACTATCTGCCAATCAAAGTAGACTCTGCAGATAGTTTGAAGAGGAACTTGTAAACAAGTTTTTATCAAGCATGGACTTGTTTGAGCATCCTCCAATCTGCAACTGACTAAATATCTTCATCTAACATATGATCCACTGTATGACTCAAAACCCTACCTCTCTTATGTTTTTAATGTTCACCTCTGCAAGGATTCACAACATATCCAAAGCATTAATGTTATCAAAAACCTCCCCGCTGGGTTAGATATAGTAGTTGCCTCTGATGTTAGCTGGTATCATGCCGTAGCTGTCACAGTATAGTGGATTGTACCACTGTAAAGTTCTGTTTTAGTGGCCTATAAAGAGGAAAAGGTACCAACATTTTACGTACCGTTTCTGCAGTTACATTTCTCTGTACTGTATGTTGACATTTCACACATGCCCTATATGGTCTACCTCTGTGGTATAGAAACAGGAAGTCAAAAGGGTAGAAATGACATCAAGTCTTAAAACTGTACTGATTAAGTACATGAACAACATTTATGGTCTGGCAAAGGTAGAGTTGTTGTAAAGAAGTAATTGCTACTGGTGTACTATGCAGCTATGTGTGTTTATTCCAACAGTCTGTGTAAGTTGGAGTAAATAACAATAGAAAGAGAGAAAAAACCCATGCTGAAAAACAAGTTAGTTTCTTTAGTGAAGGTCAAAAGGTAACTGTCTACAGTTAAATGGTTCCCTTGATGATTTCCCACATTCTCCATGAATGGCCACTGACAACAACCATGTGCATAAAGTCCCCCAAAGCACATAAGTAAAAGTCTGTGTTACATGTACATGTAAATGGTTTAAATGCATTTAAAATTATGAATATCATCTTTTCATCTGCACATCACTGTGCAAAACATAAAGGTTTCAGTGTCTTAATGGAATAGTTTCAACACTGTGAGCACAGCAGGACAAGGGTTGATTTATGACTTTGGTAGCAGGTATTTGCATTATGTGCACATTTAATTATTCAGACCACATTTTCACCACAATCTCATACCAGGAGTGTGGAAAACAGTGGGATGAAAGACACCAGCATTATGATAAAGAAGGAAGAGAAAAGGACCACATACACAAATGAGTAGTTGTATGCAAAAAAAAACAACACACCATGTTTGGTAGTATTATAGGCCTGTAGTGCGATAAAAATGTTTAATTTGTCTGCTCTGCCTCGTGTGCTCAAACCCTACATGAACTATCCCAGTGAACAATGTCATGATGGCTTGTGAAACATTAGAGGGAAGCTTTAGTAAGCGGAAACTGTAGCAATACTTTAAGCACTCCTGCTAACTTTCCTTGTTAACTGCAATAAAAAGAAAATGTCTACAAATGTATGAATTGTTACTTAGGAGAAGTGTATTAAAACATTACTGTAAATGTAGATAATTAAAAAATGACAAAATGTACATGTTGGGGCTTCCTAATTGTTAAATTAAAACAAAATTATATATAAAATCATTAAACTGAGTTTATGGTTGTAAATAATGTTGATTGGTGATTCCCCCCCCCATTTATTTCAAATGTAATGAGATATAACCATAACAATAAATTGCAAATGCAGTTGGTTGTATCAGTAGTTTAGTAATGTGACAATGTGAGTGCACAGTGTGAGTAATGTTTAAAATATTTCATATTACTTTCTGTTTAGATAGAGTTATGGACAGATACATTAAAATACAGCATATCTGCATTTTGGATTTCAAACTATTCATGATTAGAAGTTGATCGAGTATTTACAGGTTAGTGTACTGGACAACAAACACTGAGACATGACAATAGAAATCCACTGTATGTAGAGGTAACTTTAGGAAGAGGATGTATATATAAAAAAGACTTGTTAACAGGAAGCCTGACAGAGGATAAGATCACTGCAGATGATATACATGAACATGCACAAAACGACAAGTGGAAGCTACCAACTTAACGGTGAGAAACTGAAAACTTTTATCTGCCAAAGTGATAACAAAAGGTCTTTGTCAGCCAAAACAAGCCATTCAATGGGCATTTCATAATTCTGCACATTTTGGACTTATCAATGAATCAATTTATATAACAAAAGATTCAGATGTCATTTAAATTGTGAGCATATGTACTAATGGAAGCATCTACAATGTATTTAGCTGAGAGAGAGAGACATTAGATATGGCTGCAGTCTTTAGTTATTTAACATCTTTACTGGGTAACTGGACCAGTAGATGATTCAAGGGTTCAGAGTTATTTTATTGTCATTTACAACGCAAAGTTGTAGTATTAAATTTAGATATGGGTCACCTTTATGCTACTTTTAAAAACAAAATAAAAATTGGTTGAGTCAATTGATTGAGAAATAAAAACAAATGCTAAATTTTTATGATGAATTTTTCTATTCACTGATATGTTTGTTCACTCGTGAAAAGAAAGTGTATAATTCAAGAAACTCAGATTAAAATAACCTCCTGTGTTGTATACTTCAGTCTAGTTTCTGTGGTTGAAAGCCTTGCTTGTTCACAAAACAGCCAGCCGCCTTCCTTCCTTACCACTGCACTGCTAGCGACCTCAGCAGTGCAGCAGACACTGAAAATATTTGAGACAGCGGCGAGCAATTGCTCGCTGCCTGAAAGCGGTTTTAAAAACTTGTTGACCTATATTCTGATTCCTGTTAGTGACAGAATGCTGATGAACCACACAAACCAAACAGAGGATGACCTCTTCTCCTGCTACAGCCCTGCGATCGTGGGCTACCGCTACTTCGCTGTGCTGTGGGGATGTGCTGTTACCATCACTGGCACGGTGGGGAACCTGTTGACCATTCTAGCCTTCGCCTTAGACCCACGTCTGAGGACTCGCTTCAATGTGCTCATCATCAACCTGGCTGTGGCTGATCTCCTGTCCTGCACCATACTGCAGCCCATCTCAGTTGACTCCTATCTACACCTCAGATGGCGCAGTGGTCAGCTCTGGTGCAACATCTTCGGCCTGCTCCTCTTCCTCTCCAACTCTGTTTCCATTATCACCCTCTGCCTGGTAGCAGTAAGCAGATATCTCCTGGTCGCAAAAAGAGCTGTGTTTGAACGTGTCTTCTCTGACCGTGGTCTTGTTTTACTCCTGATCTCAGCATGGGCACTGAGCCTGGCCAGCTTCGGCCCACTATGGCCGATTTACGTGTTTGTACCAAATGTGTGCATGTGCAGCATCCACAAGACCAGGGGCCGTCCCTACACCACCATCCTGCTCTTGTTCTCCTTCTTAATTAGCTTGTGCTGCATTGGTGTATTCTACCTCCTCATTTACAGACGTGTCCTGATTGCCTCACAAGCTCTGCTCCGCTACAGGTTCAGCCGCCGGTCCTCCAGAAAGAAACCAGCTTCTTCCACACAAGGGACCAATGACAGTGGTGTGGAGAGTGGTATGGCCAACACATGTGGTTGGGAGATAAGCAGCCAGGCGGATCTAGCCCAAAATACAAATGAAATATCTTGTGAAAACCACTCCCAATCTAACCAGAGCTCTGATAAGGCCTCACATTCATCAGCAACCAAGTCTCCCCCTGATATCGTCCCTACATCATCTTCACCGAGACCTGCTCCCACAAATGTAGCGCCCTCGTCACACTCCACAGCCTTAGGAGAGAAGGAAACGAAGCGCGTGACACACATGTGTTTAACTGTTTTCCTGTGTGTTGTGATCTGCTTTGTCCCCTTCCTGTTGCTCAACATAGCCGACAAACATAACCGCGCCCCGCAGGTACTGCACATGTTCTGTGCGAACCTCACCTGGCTCAACAGCTGTATCAACCCCATGCTCTATGCTGTTATGAACCGGCAGTTTCGACAGGCCTACCATGTGCTGCTCACCAGGGCTGCTGCACCATTCACCTGCCTCTGGACCCGGTGCTCAACTCTGAAATCCTGAAGCTTAAACTTGTCGGATGTTTCTTCTGATATAAGCCCAGTAGGATATTATCCTCGTGAAACAGATGGAAAAGAAGGGAAGGACTAGCTCTCATAAAGTGAACAAAAGCACAGGTTGAATTTGACCATTTCACTCATGTTGCATTAACCAACATTTCAGACTTTTCCATTCCCTTTACAACATCTATGTTTCACACTGTTGTGCTCTTTCCTATGTTTGTACAAAATTATATGATGTGTGCTGTTCACCAGGGCTGCTGCACCATTCACCTGCCTCTGGGCCTGGTGGTCAACTCTGAGATCCTGACCTTGTGGAACTTAACCCTGTAACGCCAAATTTTTGAGACCTCTACATCATCAGTGTGATATTTGTTTTCCTGAAAGACCTGATGTATACAGTCAGACACATCCAGTGTACAGATAATCCACCAGGGATCAGTAACTCATGCAGCAGAGGGCCTTCAATTGAGACAATCAGTGACCCACAAGTGGTTTTTCAAGGATATTTTTGCCAATTTTGAGAAAGTTAGAGTAAGAAAAACATGTAATGTAAGGTCCATCTTTGCCTGAACAAGGACAGAAACTGTTTTCAGGCCTACGGCAATGCAAATTAAGGAGGTTGTGAGCCAAAAAATGGACCAAACTAAGTAAAAAGTTCCTCATCCACCATGCTGGTCCCACTGGTAGGTTTGTTATTGCTGCATGATAGCTTCATTTCAGCAGATACAGAAGATGTATGACGTTGTGCAATATGGAAAAAGATTTATTTTGTATGTTTAAATTTACTTGTTGTGTGTTTGTTTTTATTTGTTTAAAATAAACAAACTGTGAGTAATAAATGGCACAAAAATACCAGCTGTAACAAAAATGATACAAATTAAAACTCATATTTGCAAATTGATATTTGTCATAAATGAAATAAAATATATATAAATTTGTCAGAAGGTTCAATAAACACTCCAGTTCCAAAAAAAATATATTTTCTGGGTGGTACTTTAGCTTGTGTTATTGGACAAAGTTCATGGTCACATATACGGAGGTAGTTGAGGAAAGTATTCACAACAAATACAGCAAATACCAGTATTACACTATTGAAGTCAATACATATTAATGCTATGATATTGATGATATTCACTCTCACGTAATATGTTACATAACTGGTGATAATAAAGATAAAGGTCATATTCAAACATGTGGGGTTTGTATTGTTCTTCCACTAAAGTCAAGATGCAAAAACTGGACTCCAAGTCCATATGACCGATGTGCACGATCACGAGCAGTTTCAACCTGAACCATCCAACCAAGGTGGATTACTGCCACTCAGTGGTGAGAATAGGAGGTTAACTACATACTATGAGTGGACGTAGATGTGAAAACTACACAGTAACCTTCCCAGAATAACAGCCTGGGTTGTACCTTTCTTTTTATTCTTCCCGAGTACCTGAAACATACGGTAACACATCTGGACAAGACCCAAACAATTAGGAACAGATCACCCAAGAAGCCTATTAACGCCCAGTGTAAACAAAGTCTGTGTCAGTGCCGGTTACTTGCAACCATTTGAATATTGCTCGCCTTCCAAGCGTGTAGGATAAACTACGGTGACCATGAAACCCAAATGAAAAACCCAAAAGGTCCTATCTACAGCCAGTGTTTGTCTGTTCTGGGTTGCTGTAGAAACATGGTGGATTCTGTAGAAGAGGACCACCCCCCTCTGTACATAAAAACATTTATTCTAAGGTAACAAAACAAAATTATTCTTATTTTTAAGGTGATTATACACTAATGAAAATATACCTATGAACATGATATTCCATCTCTGCCAATAGATCCTCCTGAATGTTACACACTGGACCTTTAACTATCTGCCAATCATCAGATGGACGTTGGAGATCCTTTTAAACGAAACTGATAAATACGTTTCTATCAAGCACTGACTTTCTCAAGCATCCTCCAATCTGCAACATATGACTCTATATTTGAGGCAAAACTCTATGTCTGTTTTATTTTCTTTTTTTGTTAATTTCTGCAATAGTTCATTAAACATGCAAAGTATCAATTTCACCAATAACATACATACTAGGTTAGACATAGTAACTACACTGTAGCAACACTTTAGCTCTGTTTTGTTGCCTAAAGGGAATAAGTCACTGACAGTTTTAATAATTGTTCCACATTTGGCAGCATTCAACTTACTGCTCTGTGTGTCAGGATGTTCACACTTGGGCCTGTACGTAATGGTCTTTATTTAGCCCTGTGTGACAGAAACAGGAAGTGTATGTGCAACCGCAAAAAGCTCAACATTACATTGTGTCTTAAAGCATTTAGTCTTGTGTGGCGATAACTGGTTTATTATTGCAGCTGCAGTAAAGACAGAATTACCACTGGAGCAGCTATTGATGTTTATCCTCACTGTGTAAGGACAAAACAGTAAGTATGGACAACATTATTTAAGTAAAATAATGAAAAAATAAAATCTAATTTTGTTTGATGACTAGATTATTTCTTAAATGGCAACTGGCAACAACCACATGTATTTGTTTGTTGTTTTTTATCATTAAATATCAATAAACATCACTGTAAATATGACAGAAGTAGCCAATAAGCTACTTTTCATTGGTAGTCCCTGGCCAGGTGTAAATGTAGGCAGCCTACAGTGAATATAAAAAAATAAAGAAGTTTGAAGCAATAATCATAATGTAAGGTATGCTAATTGAAGTAAATAAACACAAACATGGACAAGAATAAAAGCAGACCAAAATACGCTATAAAACATAAACTCTGAGCAAGCACAATACTAAAACTACGGTATGTCTCCGTAGAGATTTGTCTGTATGGAAATGACTAAATGCACCTTTTCTCATCTGCACCACATTATATATTATATAGTACAGCAAGAAAGTGTAGGCTACCTTAAGACTGTATGACTATAGCAGGGGGTATTTTCATTATGTGCATATTTCTTAATACAAACCACTCATGCACCCAATTATAGCATGAGTGTGGAAACACTGGAAATGACACTTACTTCACGTTCATAAATGTGTGCAATCGCTGAATATACCACTGACTCACACTTTAGGTAAATGACGTGAATTTGTTTATGCTGAGAACTAACTCAGTGAGAACTAATGACTAATGACTTGATTTGTCATTGTAAAAGCAAAATTACATATAAAATCATTAAACTGGATCTATGTAAGTAATGTTGAGTGCATGTTAAAATTAGTTATGATTAAAATATTTGATTTGCTGAGGTCAAGTTCCTGATTTTAAACATGATACGGAAAATCCCTACATACTATTTCATCATGTAGAGGGTACTAAAGCAACACAGCGGATGCAAATACAAAGTAATGCTAGCAGAAAGGGAGACGTTCAGCACACAAGATCAATGCAGAGAATGACACAGCTACACATCAACAATTAGAAAGTCTCTTCAGCTTTAAGGTGAGAAATTCATGAGTTTTTTGTTTTGAAATGGGGGTTATTATTACTGCTATTATATCTACCTAAATCCCATGGTGGTTTTTTCTTTATCATGTTTTATCTGTGTTCAATTCTAGCATTATTGTACGTAATGTTTCACTAAATGAGTTATAAAAAATAACTTCACTTCATTTTAAAGTAGATGAAAAAAGCTGAAGCACTCTTTGTTACAGAGAGGGCAATTCTTTTGAGATCCGTACACAAAACCTGTTTCTATTTTTTGTTTATTAATACTTATTTATAATGGCTAATGTTGACCAATTATATATGCGTCAGGCTACAAGAGCCACAGCTCTCAACAGTTGTAATTGAATTTACATTAGATCCTCCTAAAGATGCAGAAAACTTCTTGAAAATGTTTTATATTTAAAACTGCCTCTCTAATGTAATGGAACAAAACAAAGCTTTCTGTCCAAGAGAGGTCTGTTAAAAAGGAAGTGGTGAATTATCTAGACCACCTGCAACTTCCCTTTTCACCTGCCAACACTTGAGAGGAGGGGTGAACTGGGTTTCTGTTGAACTTTCCGTGAGCATGTTACAGATGTGTTGACCTATATTCTGATTCCTTTTAGTGACAGAATGCTGATGAACCACACAAACCAAACTGAGGAGGACCTCTTCTCCTGCTACAGTCCTTCGGTTGTGGGCTACCGCTACTTCGCTGTGCTGTGGGGATGTGCTGTTACCATCACTGGCACGGTGGGGAACCTGTTGACCATTCTAGCCTTCGCCTTAGACCCACGTCTGAGGACTCGCTTCAATGTGCTCATCATCAACCTGGCTGTGGCTGATCTCCTGTACTGCACCATACTGCAGCCCATCTCAGTTGACTCCTATCTACACCTCAGATGGCGCAGTGGTCAGCTCTGGTGCAACATCTTCGGCCTGCTCCTCTTCCTCTCCAACTCTGTTTCCATTATCACCCTCTGCCTGGTAGCAGTGAGCAGATATTTCCTGGTCGCAAAAAGAGCTGTGTTTGAACGTGTCTTCTCTGACCGTGGTCTTGTTTTACTCCTGATCTCAGCATGGGCACTGGGCCTGGCCAGCTTTGGCCCACTATGGCATGTTTATGTGTTCGTGCCAAACGTGTGCACGTGCAGCTTCCATCGTACCAGGGGACGTCCCTACACCACCATCCTGCTCTTTTTCTACTTTTTTGTCGGTCTAGGGTGTGTGGGTGCTTTCTACCTCCTCATTTACAGACGTGTCAAGATTGCTTCACAAGCTCTTCTCCGCTACAGGTTCAGCCGCCGGTCCTCCAGAAAGAAACCAGCTTCTTCCACACAAGGGACCGATGACAGTGGTGTGGAGAGTGGTATGGCCAACACATGTAGCTGTGAGATAAGCAGCCAGGCGGATCTAGCCCGAAATACAGATGAGATCGCCTGTGAAAAGAACTCTGCCAAGGCTTCAAATTCCTTAGCAGCCAACAAGTCTTCCCCTGATATCATCCCCACATCACCTTTATCTACACCTGCTCCTGCCACTACAGTATCTTCTGCCCACTCAGCAACTTCAGGAGACGACGGTGAATTTAAGCGTGTGACACGAATGTGCTTCACTGTTTTTCTGTGCTTTGTGTTCTGCTTTGTCCCCTTCCTGTTGCTCAACATAGCCGACAAACATAACCGCGCCCCGCAGGTACTGCACATGTTCTGTGCGAACCTCACCTGGCTCAACAGCTGTATCAACCCCATGCTCTATGCTGTTATGAACCGGCAGTTTCGACAGGCCTACCATGTGCTGCTCACCAGGGCTGCTGCACCATTCACCTGCCTCTGGACCCGGTGCTCAACTCTGAGATCCTGAAGCTTAAACTTGTCGGATGTTTCTCCTGATATAAGCCCAGTAGGATATTATCCTCATGAAATACAAGACATGAAAACAGATGGAAAAGAAGGAAAGGAGTAGCTCTCATAAAGTGAACAAAAGCACAGGTTGAATTTGACCATTTCATTCATGTTGCATTAACCAACATTTCAGACTTTTCCATTCCCATTACAACATCTATGTTTCACACTGTTATGCTCTTTCCTATGTTTGTACAAAATGACATGATGTGTTTATGTTATTTATGTAATAAAGTCTATTTTCTAATACATAATCCACAGCTGCATTCAGAATTTTGCTCAACAATTAGCCTTTACATCACCACTTGGCTTGCTGTAAAATTGTATGAGAAACCACCAATGTTATAAAATCAGTGCAGGATATTCCTGTCCAACACAGCATGCCACATTTTTTGATTCAGGAAGTTATGACTCAAACCTGTGTCTCAACTCTGTATTGCCTCTAACATGCTGTTAGCACATGACTAATGGCAAAGAGGGTTTAAGTGATCTGACCTTTAGTTTGACACGTGGGTGGCGTGTGCATACTTGAGCTTTGTCAAGGCGTTCATTTATTGAGGATACTGACGAAGACGAATAATATTCATACTCATGTCCACGCCCTACCAACTGTTACACTGTGTGATTTCTTACAAGAAGACTAACACATGCAACCCCCAAGGTCATACACATTATTATTATTATCATTATTAATATTAGTACACATGCCATTGTTTTCAAAGACACTGAACCTCAATCAGCACTATATTGGGGGAGTTTGCAACTTAAATCTTATACCTATCTGGATTTAAACAAGACTACAGCTGTCTGACCAACCAAACCACATTTATACTTAAGATATTAAACTATGGTACTTTTTTGTAACCCGTCACATGTTTGTAATGTAGACTTGCCTCTACACTATGCTCTGTGCTTCCCCAGGCTGTGAGCACAGTTCATACCTCTGATCATGAGTGAAGGACCTTACAGACCCTACCTAGTGAGGTAAAGAAAAAAAGCCATGTTGTTAAGCCATGAGCCACAACGTCCCTGGTTTGTATCTGGCCTGGGACATTTGTTGCTCTACTTGCACTGTAATTGTTTTTTAAAGGACATCTTAAACACAACTTGTCAGGCCCTGTCATACATGGTCAGAGAGAGCTTTGATCATGCCAGTCAAATTTTTGATAAGTATGTTAGTATGCTAGTAAACTGGTGGAAAAAACTGGGGGAAATAATCACTTTTCTGTGGCGCTTTCAGGTCCAGGGATCACCAAAGTCATTATAGTATTCATTGTAACAGCTGTATCAAATTTCATGACAATGAATCTACGTTATTTCACTATGGACCAGTGTTGGACTGACCGTCCATAGAGCCACACTGCTAGCACAATTAAAAGTAAAATGTAATATTTCACTGTCAGTCCACCAACAAGTGTGAAAGTAGTGATATTTCAGGGATGCTGGAAGTCAGTCAGAGTTTTGGGGGTGCTGAGAGAAAGTCTGTTGGTATAATGGCATCATACTAAATGCTAAATGCACAACATTCATGGTTTTTGCATTAATTTGAATAGGCAGAATAATGTATAGCCTACTTAATAGTTAGTAACAGCAAATATTACTACTAATTGTATAACTTTTTAGCGAAAATAGTTAAGAAACGAAGTAAAACCAAATTCCTGCCATAAATACCAGTGTGTATGCAAATCCCAGTGAAATAGAAGAAGTTTAAACATTTTATAAACTAATAGTTTTCATTATGCCTGATTTTAGGGGTTGCTGCAGCTCATTCAGCTCATAACTGACATGATACAACTACAGATAAATTACCACCACATTAACAGCTAACAGCAAGCTAGCTTAACTGACACATCAGCAGTAATGACACAGAACGACACAGAGCAACATTTGATTGTTTCTGGCTATCTGGTGAAAATAAACATTCAGAGACCTTTAAGCTCTTCTTTTGTCTCCATTATCTGACTCCTGAGAGAAATGTCTGGTTCTTCATCATAGAAACATGATTGTTTGAGGACAGGATGTATACAATCTGTAATCTGCAGTACATGAAGAAAAAACTACAAATGTTAAAGTGGAAGTTATTAGAGAACATGAAATATATAGAGAGGCACATAATTAGGTTTTATTTATATTGGGTTTTTTTTAACATAAATAATTGAACAATTTCTCACGTTTATTCAATCAATAAAAAAAAAGGAACATGCAACCGGTCATTTCCCTTTTATTGGTGATAACATTTCAATTTGATTTAAATGAGCAGGTTAATATAAAAGCATATAACTTAAAGGAAATAAGTGCCATGTTTAAGTAGTTTATCTCAAGCTGTAGGTGGCAACATTACAACAACCATAAAAGGACTCACAACATACATTGAAACAATAAATTATGTGCAGTTTGCGCAATGTACTCTACAACACCTCATAACGCCCCCCCCCATACACCAGGTTAAATAGTCGATTGTAAGGAAAGGATCCCAAAATGCAAAATGTTTCATACAGAGGAGTTTATGATGAGTGATGGTTGAGGGGTCTAGACAGATGCCCGGCACTCTAATGGAGTGGATTGGAGTCGAGCTAATTCCATTACCTCTCTTTTGTCTTCATATAGTCTCGCTGAATCATTACAGACAATACTAAAACATGATAAAAGGGAATTATAAAAGCTACATTCTAATTATATCAAAGTGCACACAAGAATTCAAATGTTGCCCGATTACAAAAGCTATTCTCAAATATTGACTGTCAGTATTAGAGAGGAGCTGTCAAGTATCTCAGATTAAAACAGTATTCAAAGTAAGCTATTAAGCTAACATTTGCTGCATACACTACAATTTTGTTACATGGATGTTGTAATGTAAGTAGCTAAACTAAAAGCTGAGGATGAATGATAGAATGGTTTGGTTGAATATACAAAAACAACATAGGAAAAGGCTTATTGGAAAATACTTCCACAGGACTGTGGGGGCAGGCAATTAAATCCTTGAAAACTGAAATCAGCCAGCCCCGTCTCTTCAGGCAAGATTTCTGAGTCAACAAAGAGGTTGGGGTTGTTGAGATACATCAGTAAATCCTCATCTGGGGTTGCAACAGAGTCGGACAGCATGGGATCAGGTTGATAGATTTCCAGACACTGAGGATTCCCGTTTTGTTCTGAGAGCAGAGAAAGGGACAAGAGAAAGGTATTATTTCAGCTGTCATGGCTGTGTTATTTTTGCTTCTGCTTTCACTGAGGAAATGAGAGTGTCAAAAATGTGATGTGCAGTGCAACCCACCCTCCCGCAAAAGACAGGACATACTGATGCAGTGGAAACGATACCAGAAGCACTTGATTATACTTATGAATTACATGCAGTGTTAGTACCTTTCCTTCAGCTCATCAAATTATTCAAGTTTTTTAAACATGGTTTAATTTTGACGGTAAATACATACACTTGGTTTATGTTTAACTCGATTAATATCACAAATAAAAGTACTTGTCCTGTGCTATAAGCTTAATTAAAGCACTCATATATAATTCAACAGTTTTGGAAATACAATATGTACTTACTCGCTGAGGCCACAGCAAGCACTCACTTAGCTTAGTGACTGGAAACGGGGCAACAGCGAGCCTGACTGTCAAATGGTAACAAAATCTACCAAACAGTACCTCCAAAGCTCGCTAATTAACACGTTTCAGACTATGTCTTGGTTCTGAGCAGTTGCCAGGCAACCAGAAGAGACTCCAGGAAGTTACTGGTCATGTCCAAGAAACTGCCCAGCACATAACCTCCCGTAAAACAGCGAACTGTTTTTGTATGGAATTAATAAAACTGTAGTGTATTTCCCAAAATACCTCAAGGATCTGCATGGCTCTATGCATTTCTATTTACGGTGTCTTTTAATTGATTTCAACACATTCACCAAGCAGTGTTAAAGTGCTCAAGCATCAGAAAGTAGAATCAAAAAGCTATACAATTAAATGAATGTGTTAGTGTTGCTCAAACCAATCACCTCCACACCTGTTAGCATTTACATTCAATAGAGCAGACTACAGTATGTATGCATGCAGTAGAAGCCGCAACCACAACCCAAATTGCTGTAAGTTAGACGTTTAACAATTTCATAGCCGTCCCCTGACATCAATCTACAGCATCTTCCCCATTGATTTCCTACACCACAAGGCCAAAATAGAGAGGGCAACACAGAGCTCTGTCACGAAGGGGAGCAATTTGTTTGATGAGGTTTTTCAGCTGGATGGGACAGCAAGGAGAGCCATGACTCACCAGCTGCCTCTCCACACAGGCCATTCATTGGCTCCAGGCCTTCACCCTGTGCCATGTCAGAGGGCATGGGTGACCTAGCCTCCAGTGTGTTCCTACATGACCAATGACAAACAGTCATTACAACCTTGCTCTTGACACAAAAAAAGGCCGTGGGCACACTGCTTCTTAGATGAAGTAAGTGCATTTTTAGTTTGTTGTTTCTGTATAAATAGCACATTATATAGCGACTATTTTTATTCAAACAACCAAGATGCTGTCAGCCAGTCTGGAGAAAATGAATAATATACTTACTCCTTTGAAACAAACATCAACTTGGTTTTGATGTACTTTATGAAAGGACTGTCATCTGAAAGACAATGAGTTTAGATGTGATTCAATGTCATTTTCATCCCCAACATCCATATAGTGTCATTTGATTTGTGACTGCTGCAAAACCCCATTCAAATAACGCTAACAAAAACAACAAATTACATGTGAGGGGTGTTTTTTGGAGGATTTCTTACTTAATTATTTAGGTCCAGTGTGTAACATTTAGGAAGATATATTGGTAGAAATGGAATAATATATTAATAGGTATGTTTTTATTAGTGGATAATCGCCTGAAGATAAGAATCATGTTTTTGTTAACATGGTATGAGACGTTTTTATCTACAGAGAGAGCAGATCCTCTTCTACAGAGGCTGACATCTTGAACCACCATGTTTCTACAGTAGCCCAGAACAGACAAAATCAAACACTGTCTCTAGATAGGGCCTTCTACATTTTTTGCTGGTTTTGCAGCCACTATAGTTACAGCTGACCACTTAATCCTACATACTGGTCCTTCGGTGAGCAACACGTATAATTTGATGCCCTTACCTCCACTCTTATCAGAATAGTATTTTCCGAAAGCCTCGTCTTTAGGGGTGTTGGGATACAGGTAAAGAAGAGGATTTTCTGGGATGTTTTCAGCTTCTAAGATCTGGAAATTTCTGATGATTTCATGGAAGGGGATCTGGGAAAGGTCGACTTTGGTGAAGGGCTGGACTGTCTTTATGTCCGGCTCACCTACAATAGACAGAGGATGATCATTCACAGAAGCTTGTTTGTATCTACCATGCAACAATTTCCAAATAGTTTGTAGAATCATTATGAAATAAACATATCTCACCAGTTATGGTGATGTCTACCCATGAGAAGGTGATTCCTCCAATGACACTTTCACTGAAGCGCAATAAGAATGTGCCTCTTTGTTTTTTCTTCAGGAGGGACTTCTCTTTGCCTTTGCTCACAAAGCCCATGATGTGGCTACAGTACAAATAAAAAGTCTCGTATGAAACAATTGCCCTTCATTGATCCCAGAGTAAACAGTGTTGAGTAAACATACCCATCCCTCCACAGGTCTTCAAGGTATGTTTTCACCATCACCAAGATTCCATCAAACCACACCCAGAAAGTGTCAGGAGTATTTTCCTGTGACAATGTGGGTAGAAATCGTCATCAAACACACCTACAGAATATTCTCATAGACAATCAACAAACAAGAAAAGGAAAAACACCCTGATGTTCAGCAGGTGTTTACCATGTTAGGTAGCTGACATGTATATTAGCACTAAAGAAGAAATACATGAAGGGAATGTAATTAGTTTTGCTAATTACATTCACTGAACAACATTTTTACGCAATGACGAAATGTACTGGCAATCCATCCACAAGATGTTGAGACATTTCACTCAGTTATCAGGGCTAAGGCTCAGTCTTTGGGCCATGTTAAAAAAAACATCCTCTAGGATTCAGTATTCTTACCTTGCTAAATTTTGACCACGCTACTTTGCAGGTGTTGTAGTCCTGTCCCTTTCCTGGTGGGATAGATTTGAAATGATTTATTATGCAACTCTCACTCACTGACAATAAAATATGCTTGCTGGCCACGTCCCCCATATGATTCTCTCTGCTGCATTTTTTACATTTGGTGGGATGGAGAGAGCTAGCACATTTTAGGAGTTTAGTGACAGTTGAAACAGCTGGAAATCTGGTGAAGTTGTGAGAGCATATGGTAGAATCACACATTTTAGCTTGACACTGTGTGTGTGTTCCTTCACATCTAGTGTTTGTTTTGAATGATACATAAGTAAATCTGAAATGAAGTTTTATAACTAAGTTTGGGAACAAAGACCACGACTCACACTCATCTCCACACAAAAAGCACTTAAGCACACCTTATCCGTTCATTCCAATCTTTGACTTAGTTTTCACATCCTCCCTCCCCCAAACCCCTCTCTTTCTCCCCTCCACTGTCTTATTCAAAAACAGAAACCACTGGGGCACTTGACTAAAAATAAGAAGAGAAGAAGAAGAGTATCATCACCCAATCAGTTCCCTCCCACCATCTTGCCTGAACTCCTCCATCCATCTATCCACAAGCATCCATCCGTTCATCCATCACCCTTCCTTCTCATACCCCTTTATCAACCCTGTCCCCATCCCTTCATTCCTCCTACAGTTTATCATATTGGCTCATTTTCATCCATTATATGCAATAAACAATTATAATTCCATATGTTGGTGTGATCTTTGTTAGTGAAAGAAATGCATCCTCGATCTGATCGGGGGAGAGCTGCAGTACAGTTCAGCACTGTTTTGACACTATGTTTCTAGTGATAAGAAGTGCTACTGAGGCTTGAGTTATTTTTTTAAAAATATTTAAATGTAAAGCCAATCAGTCTTAAAATGCTAGATGCATTTGAGTAACTAACTAATCAGGCCAGAATTTATAGACAAAACAATCACAAACATAAGCAAAGACAAGCTACTGAAGCACAACACAAATCAGGATTTACCAAAGAGTTTGTGTGCAATCATCTCCAGCTGAGTGTCATTCAGACCACGTTTAGTGGCAGAGAGAAACTGCCAGCTCAACATCTCTCCAAACACCGGCCAAGGGGCTGCAGGAGAGTTTGCAAAGAACATGACATCCTGCAGAAACAGACAGACATTAACAAATACATAACCTTTCTAATAGCATAACTGAACTGCAAAATGCCACATGGTCTGTGTTAAGTCATGGGGATCTCTCACCTTGGTGTCCTGACAAAGCATGTTGAACCAGAGGACAGACGCCCAGGCGCTCTGCTGCTGGCTGGAGTTGGAGATGATGACCACCGGGAGGGAGGAGGCCTAAGTTGGGTGCCAGTGAAGAACACATTTTATTTAGGTCAATCATAATCATAAAGAGCCTACATTAACCTACATGTTAAGAATAGATGTAGGCTATTTTTTATTTAAGCCGGACGTTTAACAAGAAGAGAAGCAGAAGAAACTCTACCTCCAACTGAACTGACAAGCCTTTCTGCTCAAATACAGTGTCGAAGTAGATGATGTGCAGCTCCTCCGTGACACTGAGGGAAATCTGTTCACACACACACACACACACACACACACACACACACACACACACACACACACACACACACACACACACACACACACACACACACACACACCATTATTTGGTTGTTCACATCCGCTTGAATTATGAATTTCTGAGTTTAACTGTAAGCACAAATGGGATCTTCAGTTCCAATAATAATTTGCCAAAGTCAACTCACATCACTGACTCCCTTGCCGCCTCCTCCAGACTTCTGCTCCTTCAGAGTCTACAGACAAATAATATTACACAACATCAGTTACACAACAATATTACCATCTGAGATTAAAGAGTAATTATTGTTATTTTAAATGTTCATCTTTTAATCACTTCAGTTTAGCTGCTGGAGACTGCTTTATGTGTGTATGTGACAACACTGAGTGTTAAGTAAGTGACAGGATTTATCCTTTAAATAATTCAGATGCCAAAATTGCATGAAAGGCTTTATTTTTCTCAGTAGTCAAGATTTTTTTCTCTTCTCAAATCATTATCACTCACCAGATGTCTGAAGTCTGCCACCATGCCTCCACTCTGGCTCTCTGCCATGTTCAAGGCTTTGGTTTTGGTGCCCAGAACATTAAAACGGCGATATCTACCAACATACCAGGTTTAGTAAAAACAAATTCACATCAAAAAGAAAGTTCAATGTAGTTTTTCTAGAACTTGAAATGAAAGCTGAAGTTATGTAAAAAAAAAAAAAAACCCAAAAAAAACACTCACCCTTTGATCTGAGGAGCCTCCCTAATTCCAAGGGGTAGAAAAAAAGAGCAGTGACCACAAGGGGGCAACCAAACATCTTCCTCTATTGTTTGAAGTTAAGAACTAACTTCTGCAGGGTTGCTCTATTGTAAAATTAACTCAAACTAAATAAGGAATCTCACCTGTCCATAGACACATTGACTTTCATGGAGTGGTTCAGCTCAGGAAACTTAACGAGAAGTCTGAAAATATTAAGTCAGTTGTGAGATTTTAGAACATAGAAGATAGTAAACAGGAAACTTTGAAAACAGGAAAAGGGTTACACTATGGAACAAAACAATTGCAACATTAAAGTCACATTTAGGCAAAGGATAGAGGGCTTTACAGAAAGGGATTAAATTATCATAGTTCTGCTTATTATGCTCATATTAGTTCACAACTGCTGTAATGTTCATGTGTTGAACAACAATTTACTACAGCCCAAATAAACTGAGTTCAGGTTGGTTTACCTCCACTAAAACACAGTGTGTTGGTCTGTAGCCAAAGCTACATTGCCCTCTTTCAAATGTTTTGGTTGCTTCTTGTCAGTGATGTCCATCTATCATTATTATAATAACTGCATATTTTATTCTGAAAATTGCTACTGATTACCAAATCACAATGACTGCACTGAACAGAATGTACCTAGTGTACAAAGTCTAGACATATAGATTACCTTACAAACATACTAAAAGTAAATGGTAGTGGTTGCCTGGAGTGGCACACTGACCTGGTCTTGACAGAGAACTGGACGTTTGTACGGAGCACCAGGGGTCCTTTCCCCTGAGGCATGGATGGCTGAGTCTCAACCACAAAGGAACTTCAGGAAACAGAAAAACAATAATGTCAGGAAACTTCACAAGGAAATCATAAGATGGCAAGAAAGTGTAAGAAAGTGTATCCTAAAAGAGAGACCTTTTGAGTAAGTCTTTCAAAAGAGTATCTGCTCTCTTCTGCAGTGCAGGTTTCTGGGTCTTCACAGGGTCGTTGGCATAGGACACTTTTCCAACCAGCTCGTCCAGCTTACCGAGAAACTCACGCACCTGGAACACAGACACTGCCACACAAGTGAACCTACAAGACAAGACACAAAAAACAAAAGTGATCATGCTCACATACATCCTAAAAAAGGGTAATAAAACATGCTACTTGTTAAAACACCTCCAAATGAAGATGACTGATGATAATAGTGGTGGCACATCTCAAATTTCAGCTGTAAGACATTTTCACAATCTCTTTCCTGGCTTTGTGATTTTATCAAATATAATAAAATAATGACAGCATATCTTTAACCTATCTAGCAAAACATTTACAGAGGTATTACTGACATAATGATATGCAGTTAACGCCAAAGATTAAAACTGATGTGGAGCAGGTGAAGATGAACATACCAATTTTCTAGCTGATCCAGACAAACATTGTCTGGAGCACCAATGTAGGATTTCTGCTGCCTCCTCTGCCAGTCCACAAGTTCCTTCTTCACCAATATTTCGATCAGGTGCTCAGCCTTGTCCAAGAGTTTATTTAAGTCTGACAGTGTGCTCTAAGAAGATGATTGTATGAGACAAATATTGGAATAAAGAAAAGCAAAATTAGGAAAAGAACTGGACTTATAAGATGAAGGTGTTACTTAAAAATGTTAATTACTCCATACCTTTCTACATTCATTCAGTTTGTTGACAAGTAACTGAAAAACTTTCACTTGTTCTTTCTTCACGGCCTCATCTACCGCAGCTGCATAACCATTTCCACAGTGGGATCACAGTTTCCACATAAGACAAGCCAAAAGAGAACACACAGCTGTGAATCATGCCATTTTATTACTCATCCTCAGAAAATATTATCAGAACATGCAAATATAACCAGAACCTTAATTTACTCACCTTCCATCTTGTGTGTTTGGTATTTAAAATCAAACTCATCTTGCTGCTCCTCCAAACATAACATTGCATGTTCCATGCACTATATGCAAAAAGTACAGAGAAAAAAATTAAAGGATAAACTGTGATATTTGTCACCTACAAAGCACAACATAATGACATAAAGCAACAAAATCTGCACCTGTACTTCATTCCTGAGGCCGGCCATTTTACGTTCAAGGTCCTGCTGGCTGCTTGTCTCCATTGCTTCCTGCTCTACGCACAAAAACTTGACCTGGGACAACAAAAAGTTGTAGGAGGAGCAGGTATAGAGATTTCAGATGTGATACTGGGTAATACTGTTGCAGAGAAAACAATGTGAGTGAAAGTAGCAGTTAAAACAATATCACTGCTTGGTGGAAAATCTTTGCTTTTTAGCCCACACACTGAGTCCTGTAGTTTGTACATGTGGCTCTTCCTAAAGACGTAACTGCAAATACATTATTCAGAACTGAAAACAGACAAAAATGTATAATGGAAATTCAAACTGGACACCTAAACATTACCTTTCTAAAAATGTGTAAATACTTTGACTTAAGTTACAGTGCCGCAGCAGACACACAGCACATCTGCATATATGACACAACAGATGACCATTGAGTCCCACTGTACATGCAAAAACAGCCAAAACATGCCAATGTATTTAGTGACCATATGAGAAAATATTTGTTTGTAAAAAAATAAATATCTGGTGTCAACTGAAATTTTCTATAGCAATATGTGTGCAATTGTTTTCATTTGCATTCTGTTTTAATTAAAACGTTGTATGATCAGTCCATGTATTATACATGATATATCAGCACTGTCAGTTAATAAAATATTGCCCTAACCTGCTCGGCCAGCTCAGCGCTCTGCAGGATTTCCTTTTCTTTTTCCAAAAACCAGAGGATTGTGCTTGCCAAGGCACACGGGTCATTCAAGTACCTCTGTCAGGAGAGAGAAATCAGATAACCATTATAGTCCTCATATTCACAGTGGGATATTTCCTATTTAAAAGATGTTTGTTTTACACAAATCTTATCCAAACAAACCTGAAAATTCTGTTTATAGCGTCTAATGTTGTGTTGGAGTAAGAATGACTCCTCCTGAATAAAGCGGCTGTGTTGGATATCCAGGTTCTCTAGCAGGACCTGGAACAGCACCATAGCCAAATCATGATCCCGTGCTGCTCGTTGCCTAAAAAAACAAAAACAAGAAACAATCAGAGTATTTTCGGGTAATTTACCATAATTCTTGAACAAGGATATAAGGGGGAAAGAAGAGATAGTGCTGCCTTACCATTCCTGCTTCTCTATCCAGACTGACAGGTAGTGCCGAACATCCATGGGTAAAGCATCCCTGTCATAGAGCTCATGTAACTGCTGTCTGTACACAGCAGGCAGCTCCCTCAGTCTTTCCCACTGAGCCATCCTAAGGTAGATCACAGAAAGCAAACCTCATTTATGAGTATGTATATGAGTACTTGTGCCGACCTGCCCTAAAACAATGTCATTGCACCATCAATGTGAATTTACATGTGACGGGCTCACACAAGTCTGCAGATCAACAGTTGAGAGGGTAAAGTACAAACTCTTAGAGGAGATATGACCTAACGTTAAATATGTTGACATTACACTTTATGGAAGTTTACATGTATTGACTGCAAATGTTGTTGTTTTTAACAAACTATTAGAAGTTGAGATCGAGTGTACTTTATGTGTGTGTGTTAGCTATTAGCTCTACTACCAATCAGTAATACTACTTTTACTCACCTTACTTTTTGCTGTCAGTCCGAGTCCACTGAGAAATGTCTTTATAACGCTAACTGGTAATTTAAAAATGGCGCATAGCTAGCTCCTGTTTCTTGCTTTATGAGCTAGCTGTAGATGATCTCAAACGTTAGTAAAACAAAACAACTTCCAGCAGAATGCAGGTGTGTGAATGTTATTTCCGTCTTCTTTTGCACTCCGTCCTCTCTTCCATTGGATAACCGCCAATCCCTCCCATGTCGTTCTTCACAAGCGAACCACAGGCGCCATTTTGGGTCTGACACAAGTGCCCGTTATGGCGGTTGAGAGCCGAAATGTTCGCCTCCGCTTGCACAGTTTCCTCGTGAGCTCAGAGCTAACCGCTCATTGGTCGAGCCGGACACAGAGCAGCACGCGCCGTTGGTACACTTCTACGTCAGTCTGCAGCGGGGGGGCGTGGCGAGCAGAATAGAAACTTACGGCCTCGGTCTGAAGATTTCCCGAGAAATGACCATGTGACGTTGTGAAAGTGACGAAGTGAGACTGTGACGCACTTTTCTCCAGACCAGTAAACAACATAGCAGGTTGTGTGTTTGTAACCGTCTTCGCACGGGACTGGTATTGTCAGGGGGTTTGTAATAACTGCGGAGGATCTTAATGGCGAATGCGCCATGTTCGTAATTTCCAAAATAAAACCTCCATCTGCAAATTACCTACCATGGTTCACCAAACTACTGGGTCATGTGTTTTGTCTCGTGCAAATCGTCATCTCTGTAAATTTTTGGGTCGTATATTTTTTGTGTATATTTGCAGGATATCAAACTGATATTATAATGTCACAGAGCGGAACTTTTTTCTTTTTTTTTTAGCTTTATTTGCAAACATGAACAATACATGAACAGACAATGCAGAACAGAACTTTAGGTGGAAATATGACAACCTACACACTGATTATATTATAACCAGTGAAGTTATTTGTGTTTTAGAGCAGTTTCTGCTGCTGTCTCCACTCTGTAAACTGTACAGTTTATTAACTCTAAAGCTCACTTCCAGTTGCTTGATGATTGTAGTATTTTCACATCTGATGGTAAATCCATTGAAAGGCTGCTCTCGTACAAGGACCTGAGTGTAGGGATAGACAACAAGCTTATATTTAATGTACATATTGCTGAGATAGTTAGGAAGCTCAAAGTGAAAATATGATTTTATTTTAGAAATCAATCTTCTTAGAAAACACTTATGGAATCTACTTTTGTGTCTGTGATTAATTAAATATTGATTGTGACATATTGTATATGCATTGTATTCTATATCCTCCATTTTACTGAGGTTTCAGTGTACCACACATCTCTACACTTCAAAGTCCCTCACTCACCATTGCATCCTTTCTGGTTTGGTGTGTTGGACACCATTGACCACTCGCAGGCAGCAGCACTGGTACATTTTCATTTATTGAAGGGATACTGGGTAAACTTCCAACATATCTCTACCACTACTACTACTGGTAGCTGGTTGCTTTTTAATGTACCCAGGGTTTTGACAGAGAAGACTGTATTTTCTCACGATGCACCTTGGGTATGGAATAACCTGCAAAAAGACACAGTATTGTATAGTTTGGGTTTTATTATTTTTATGTTGTATTTTAATATGTTGTGATCTTGACAGCTGCTACATTGGCCAGTTTTCTCTTGTAAAATAGATTTTTGACCTCAATGAGACTTCCTGCTAAAATAAAGGTAAAATAAATTTAAAAAACGTTTTGTTTACATTTGTATTAAGTTAATATTTGTATGTAAAATTCCAATATGCAAAATTAATAGCTAGACCTGTATAATAGGCTTTCCAACTGGTTACTTTGTGTAACAATGACAATAGCATTTATTTTATTCATCCCTTCAGTTCCCACTCTTACTTTTTAAATTTTATTTTATTGACGTTTTATATAAAAAAAGGATATTACAAACAAAAAGCAACAATAAAGTGCATCAAGTGCCAAAGTGCATAATAAACCGTATAAAGTGCTCATGAACCAGAGTCCAAAGGAGTTCCGACTGTTACCACTAGATGTCATACTTGACACACCGGAAATTAGTGTGGATTTGGATTAATCGATAATAAACTGCCAAACTTGGCAAAAACTAATCTTTTATTATTGTTGTTGTTGTAGAAATTCTGAGGTTTAAATTCACCACAACCTAACACCCAAGAATGGCTTGGACCAGACATATATTACTTATAGTTTTAAGATTATTTTAATTGACTTCTTTCATTTAGCTCTGCAATGATATTTTCTGTGACTTTGGTCTCCCTTTGTGTTGGTCTAAGGATATTGAATGTACAAAATATCATCAATTCAACCATGTGTAATGTGTATTTGTAGATAAACAATGTAGAGGACTGGACTATAAACAGAGTGATATGTGTAATGCACAGGTACAGGGGTTGGGCTCTGTTACACAGTCTGTATAGAAATAAATGTCTAAGTGCAGTTTATGCAACAGATTGTTAAATTCACAACCAAATTCCTGCAGTCATTCAGAAGTGTTAATTTGTAATTAACACATTTTCCTGTAGCTTTGTTATCAGCACAGCTCTGCCAGCTTCCTACCTGACCTGCATTTGATAACACCAAAAATAAACTGAGGTTATTCATAATAGACAAACATTATTAAATAGATCTTAAACTAGTGTAGCTCATCTAATTAAATCAAATCCCTTTCCCCATTACCAGGAATAAATCACATTCCAGATGTCAAACAGGTTTGCTTTGAATCTGTGCTCTCAGATTAATGACAAACTAACACAGACTACAGACAGCTTTAGTCATTATTACATTTGTGTGCTGTGGTTGTAGCAACAACTGACAAAGTAGGTGGAAAAATAGCTTCTCTATCTCTGTATGTCTGAGAGACCATAAATGACAGTAAAACTCCAGGTGTTGCACCTTGTATATAACAGTATGCAGCAAGTGTCACACAGTTGCATTACTTCAAACTTTCTTTTTCCTCTATAATTTCTTTATGATTTGGCAATATTGTCATAAAGCAAATTTAATTGAATTGATCAGATTATGTTTGTCTGAACTCCTGCCACTTCCTGCTTCCACAGTATCTACTTGTGTTTCTTCTTGTGTCCTTAGGGCCAACTCTGCTGTCAGTGTTCCCAAGGCCTCCACCCTGAAAAGGAATGGCATGTTCTCTTTTGTACATAAACACACTTTGCTTCATCCAGCAGAAGACGATATAATAACTACATGTTAAAAAAGCAGCTTCATCACTTTTGGTTGTAATTCCGGCTACAATCAGCAGAGCAACGCTGACGGAGCCCAGAAGTCTAATGGGTTGAAATACACTTTAACAAACAATCAGATACAAATTTTTTGTGTCCTAAAGCATTTACTGATCGATAAAGGATCAGCGTCGCGCTCTCAGCTCTCTGCAGCCTGTCAGAGAATGAATTGAGAACTGATAAAACTGCTCTTTCTATTAATCACCACATGGTTTAAAACCTAAATACATCTCTGATCACCTGATTCAACTTTAACCTACAAGATCTCTGAGATCTACTACTATGTCTTGTTTTGTGACATTTATGACAGATTAATTGCTCTGCTGACATGTAAAGTGCTGCATGTGGAGTAATTAAGAACCTTTATAGAATACAAAGAACTACCGATTCACATGCTAAGCAAGGAACAGGAGCATCTTGTTCAACTGATGTCTACATAACTAAGTATTGTCCTTAACTCTGTAGTGTGTAACATTTCAGCATAAAAATGTCTATAAACATTAAACCTATGTTCTGTACACACTAAGAAATCATGGTACAGGAATGGACCTAGAAGGGAAGAAATGCTTTCTCGCTCCAGCTGTACCATAGCAGTGTACAAGCACTGTAGCTTTAGCCATGGTACATTTTTGTACTTTCTTTTCTGCACCTCTAAAAGAACATTTCTGTTCCCCTAGTGACAAAAATGTATACCTTTATGTCCTGGTACAAAAATGTACCCATTGAAAAGGTACAGAATTGGTACCTAATGAGGTAGGTACAGCTGGAGCCACAGGCCATTTTGTACCTAATGTGGCAAAAACATGGGCTTAATTCAGAGACTAACATTTACAAAATTTCTTAAAAGAAATAACAATTAGTTTACATTTTTCAACACTTTTCAGTACCTTTTAATTATATTGTTCAGCTAGAACTGATTTGTCCATAACGAGTGAACGCTGTACCAGCCTTAATCAAGTTTAAACTCTACTCAACAAGTTTCAGCAGTGCCGACTACAAGTGCACTTGCCACGGGCGCATTCCCGAGCAGACTACAGGGAGAAAAACAGGTTGCACTACCCAACTCCGTGAGGGAGGGCCACGGCATAAAGTAATTACAAACATTTAATTACAAACATAAAACCAAGTCCCCATAGAGATGGATAGAAAATAAATCTACATTTAAACAGTGATAATACTTACATAAAATAAAATTGTGAATAATGGGCAGTGGAAGCATTGTACTCTGCTACACTGACAATTAGCTACTTGATTAAATGGATGAAATCACTCAAATAGATCCATTGTGAACTTGTAGCAAAATTAAAAAAGATGAATGGAAGTGTTGTCCTAGTTCTTCACTCATGAAATTATTCCCAGAGCACACAGACCAAGAACTGAATATACATTTACTCTTAGCCTATTTTATTTCAATAAACCCAACTCTCTTTTTAGATCAAGATTTTTTTAATCACTGATTTGCTGTAACATTTTCCTCCCTAAATTATAATTATGTACCCCTTTCTGTCAGCCATGATTTGGTTCCTTTAAAATTAAACAAAGGGTAGTTTTCTGATAGAAATGATACCCCTATTTCTCCGTGTGCATGTTGTTGAGTGGTGTATTTACATTATCCCAAGTCCTCTGCAGTAAGACCTCAATCTGTGAAATCAGTGACAGAAATGAACAACTGTATCAGTCTGGAACAAACACACATATTATATAGAAATGCCTGCACGGAGGTGGATGAGAACATTGATCAGAAAGGAGATCAATATGAGGGGAAGGATGTCAGAGTAATGGCAATAAAAAGAAGGATTATGAATTCTCATTGTGGATGCACTGACATCTGATTAGGTGCAGGGCTGCAGGGCCAATCAGAGTGCACTTTGCAGGAGGCTGCCACTACTCGCAATAAGAGAGAACTTTTTTATTATTTATGCTGCA